AAGTAATGAAATATTTAGCGAGTATTTTTCTTTAATTTGTAAGTCCAGAACACGCTCAGATTGTTAATTAACATTTTGATTTTGTTATCTCAGCAAAGGCAATTAAAAATTCTCCTGATATCACAGCGCACGTCTGCGACGAATGGCTGAACAATAAAATGACAAATTAAATAAAAAAGAGAAAAAAAGGGTTTCTTCAAACAAGCCAAAGGTTAAATTAAAAGAATTTCAATCGCGATACGAATATTATTTACCCTACATAACTTTGGTTATCTTTATTTTTATCTTGCGCAATTTTTTCGAAAAAAGTGCGCTATCGTGAAGACACAACCAGCCGACGCACAAATTTACTGATTGTTCTTATTATTTCTACGACTACAAATAAAATAATTAAGTCAAACGGTTAATTATATTTGCTTTGTCGTCTTTCTTTTTAATTTTTTTACATTTTCCCATTCCAAATCTAATGACGTCTCTACAAGGTGGAGATATTCTCGGCAGTTTAAATGCGAATTTGATTGCCAACTATTAAAGTCGAGGATGTCCCACATTAGTTGCCGTATCGGGCGCCAAGTCATTCTTTGATGTGTGAAAATTCTTAAAAATGCGAAAACGAAAAACTACTACGGATCATTGCCGCAAATGACAAATAACAACACTCTTCTGTATGAAATTTTCAGAGTTATGTTAGGGTCAACCGTCTAATACTAACTTCGATCAATCAGTTTATTAGTCCTTAAGGTAACAACATTTAAGGAAAATTGAATTTACATCTGTTCGGACAGTCAGGCAGTTCTCAAGACCCAAGGCACTCATGGAATGCCACACAAAACAGGAAGAAATAGCGAGGCATCATCGTGCCAATATATGAGAGTATAGCCGGTCACTGCTCCTTGAGAACAGTAAGAAAGCTACCGGAGGAAGAAAAGTGAAGGCTGAGAGAAAGAAGAGAGACGGCCGAGCTGAAAGAAGAGGAGTAAGCGGGAAATACAGAAACAGTAAAGGAAAAATTGATGGAAACCGTAAAGGAAAAATTAAGAAGGGCGGCTAATAAGCCAAAAAAGAAAAATGAAAGAGAAAATGATAGAGGAAATGGGAGGATTAAAGGACGAAATTTCGAGAAATGGAAGAGCAATGAGATAAGGAAAAAAGATGGAAAAGATAGCAAAACTAGAAGAAAAAATGAAGAAAAGGAAACAATACAACTATAAAAGGAGTGAAGACTGAAAAAGGAATAGAGAGAGAATGCGCGGAGGAAGGGCTGATACAAAATCTACAGGTAAAATGCGAAAACATAATCGCGGAATTACCATGCGAAAAAAAGACGGAAATTATGGGGGTGATAAGAAAAGAATCGGGTGAAAATAGTTAATAGGACATCAAATGAATACATAATGTGGAAGAAGCAATTCGCAAGGAGGGAGAACATAAAGGGAACAGCAAAAGGAAGTAAAAATTTGAAAAGGAAATGGCGAGAGGAAGAATATATATATTTCAAAGGGCTGTAACTTTTGATCTAGTAGTCCAATCTTGGAACTGTTTGAAATTATGGATTCTACGGGC